AGATGGAGGTGAACCTGAAGAAATCGATAATGAGTGTTAGAGTACTGATTGGCATGCTGGTGGTACAAGTGATTGCAACAGGACTGCAACTTCTTTCTAGGGTTATACTGAGTCAAGGAACCTTTCTTTTCGCTCTACTGGCGTATCGAAATGCAGTTGGTGCTATTTGTGTTCTTCCTTTTGCTCTCTACTGGGAAAGGTTCATTTTATATTATATTTTCACTTATAGTTTATTAGCCTATAATTAATTAATTTGACTGATGCTTCTGCATATTGCAGAGATGGATTAAAGAAGGTAACCTGGATAGTTTTTTTCTGGTTATTCATGGTAGCCTTAACCGGGTAAATCTCTTCTTCTTCTTCTTTTCTTTTAATTTTTTTCCGCTCTCAAATCCCATTATTTGCATGAATTGCATTAAAAGTTTTAAGGATTTTTTTTTGATAAATCTGTGAGCTAATTTTTCTGAGGAAAAAATTTATGGGTTCCGTTAGAGAGTAATTACATTAAATAGTTCTAATTAACACTTATGATATTCATGTTTAAGAGAATTGCTTGAATTATTGAGGGATTTTCATACAACAACAAACGGAGTCCTAGTTTTAAAAATTTGGACGGCTCCAATCGTTTTCCACATGTTCTGGTTCGAGTCCAACTCGTGCAAAGACTACCTCCTCTCCAGACAAGAACGAGAGAAAAACATTAATCATTTCTAATTTTGACGGTGTTCCAAAGGTTTTGTTAATGTGTGAATGCACGCTTTGAAGAAATTATGCCTCAAACAATTACACATGTAAAGTCAGGCATCGAAGCCACATTAATCAAAAAATTTTGATCTGACTATGAACTGAAATTCTCAGCATTCGTGTGATTTTGCCACAATACGGAATGTTGGCAGATGTTATATTCCTTTCTGGTTTTGTCATCTCTTTGCTTTTGGGTTGGAAATGGCCTTCAAAATAAATTATTTTACATCTTCATCAATTCTGTAAACATATCTCATATAAATTTTTATTTTAATATAATAATTAGAAATATATGAGTAGTGCGTAGTCGAATTTTTGACAATTTTTTTTCTTTATTTCATTGAAATAATTGTATGTTTTAATATATTCTACTTTGGTTTGTTAGGTCCCAACATCTAATAATTTTTTTTTACTCTGGCAAGATCACAATTTAGAATATCGGAATATAGAAATCAATGAGAAGTATAAATATGCTAGTCCTAGGTTGCCTCACACTCGACTAGATTTGTTTGAAAAAGCCCGCAGTTGAAGTTTCAAAATTAAATACGCTAGTTTAATCGACATTTTGACTGGCTTTTGTATCTATACATGATGCAGGATATCAATGGCTATGGGATTATTCTATTTGGGACTAAAGGACACCACAGCTACATATGCCACCAATTTCTTGAATCTAATCCCAGTTATCACCTTTATCTTCTCAACTATCCTAAGGTATATATACATATAAATCATTGAATACTTGCAAGAAACGAGGTAGGGGAGTGTAATTTTTCTTATTATTATTTTTTTAACTGGACAAATATATATAAAAAAATATTTTTTCTGGGCTGATACATAGAAGGCATAATTTTTTTTACATATATAAAAGAAAATAAATAGACTCCCATACTGGCTATAATTAGGAGCCAGCCTATGACTATCATTTTTAAAACTTTGCGACGTGCGTAGGCCGGGACCGGGACGGGGACCAGCGCACCACTCTAGTGGTGGCTAGTTCATTTATTAAAGTATAGCTTGTTCACACATCCCACTATATAAACAAGTGTGAGATTCCTTACCATATATAAGACAATTAAAATAAGTTTATCAACTTATGAGTCTATATTGAAGACTTTTTCAATTCACTCAAATTAATTGCAATTGCCAACATCATTAAATATCACATTTAATGATTTAACCCAATTAAATTCAATTAATTCCAACAAATAAAAAAAATGATATTTTAACTTTTTTTCTATTTAATATTGTCTAGTATTGTCAATTCACGATACACAAAATACAATTAAAATTTTCATAGAAACTAACTTTTCGTACTGAAGTTTATAAATTACATTTCTTATTCAATAGTATATATTACGTTCTGTATTGTCTGGTCTACTGAGGACGTTTATTAAGGAAACTAGCTTATGTGGCAATTCAATTTTCCTTGTACTGAGAAGAATAGAGAAACTGAGAGTGAATACAAAGGCTGGCAAAGTCAAAACCCTAGGTGCAGTAATATGCCTAGCAGGAGCATTGACTATCGCCCTTTACAAAGGAAAAGCTTTTCACTTCCATCATTTCAGACAGCAAAATACAGTTATCAGAACAGTGCGAGAGAAAAAGACCAGAGGGACTCTACTTCTAGTGGGTAGCGTACTGTCATATGGTATGTGGTTCACTACACAGGTAAGAACCCTGAATTAATTTTTAATTAAGAACCATGTTTGGTGTACGATGTTACAGTATTGTTGTTGTCATTGGATTGGACAGTTTAGAAAAATTTTGGATTTTTCAACCAACAAGTTTTTGATATATCAAACTTGTTAACCAATATTGTCATCCAACATTGAACAAATAGCATGTTTGACAAATCTTAAAAGTGAAACATCGAGTTACTTTTTTTCTCTAAACATATTTGAATATATTACTTTGTTCTTACTTTAGTTCAAGACTTAATTATTTTTAACGTCATTAATAATAGAACTTATTTATTTTAAGTGCATGTTTGGATTGGCTTTTGGAATACGTGGACAATTGTTATGGGTTATAAGAAATATATATTTAAAATTAAAGTTTGATCAACTTAAATTATAATTAAGCCAATCCAAACATGCACTAAGACTTACTCCATCCATCCCATTTATATATGCTGATTTTCTTTATTTTCTTGTCTCAATTATATAGTCTTGTTTTTTTTATTGAGAATGTCTTGTTTGGTTCATTTACTAATATACCCTTATTTCTTAACTACTTTCAACAATAATTTACTACTAATTATTAATAATTAATTAAGGGCAAAAATCATCATATATAAATGGGACGGATGAAGTATTTTTTAGTTATAACGAGGTCAAATTTATTGTCCCGAAATTGTTGTATCATAAATACATTTTTAATATCTCGACACATCACCTCTTCCTAACAAATGAGAGAATGCCAAGGCGTAATACGGAGAAGCGTCAAACTGTACTGACATCTTCTCATTTGCTATGAAGAGTTGATGTGTTGAGCTACTAAAAATGTATATATGGGACAATAAAAAAGACGACAACTTTAAGACAATGGATTTGGACTCACTTATAACTGAACTACTTATTCTTATCTAAACATGCACCGAGCCTTGGATACATTATTTTGACTAAAAAAGATGTATTTTTTATGAAATTAACTTATTTTGAACTTCACCAAGAAGTAAATTTTTCAAGTTAAGCCAAACATGCCCAGCACTATGGAGTCCATTATATTTTGAGTTCCTAAATTTTGTGTTTCTTGTCCAATTCAATAATTAATTTCATATCTTAATCATAATTCTGTGCAACAGGTTAAATTATTCAAAGTATTTCCCTATAAATTTTGTGCAACAATGTTGACATGCGTCATAGCATCAATACAGCAAGTGATAATTGGCCTATGCATAACTAGAAAACCAGAGGCATGGAAACTAGGTTGGAATTTGCAGCTAATCACCATAGTTTACTCGGTAAGAAATAGTCATTTTCCCACAAGAATACTTTTAATTACACGCGCTCTACGTTTTGTCACGTCGAAGTTCGTGTTATATTGAACATCACGCGGATTACTTAATTCGAGTGATTTGTGTTATTTCAAAAATCCGACCAAACCCTTCTATGAATATATTTGTATTTTTGCAGGGGATACTGGCCACTGCTGCAACATTTTGTTTGATTTCATGGGCAATTAGTGAACGTGGACCGACTTACCCATCCATGTTCAATCCATTGTCACTTATTTTAGTTGCCATACTTGAAGCTCTCTTCCTCGGTGAACCAATCACGGTTGGAAGGTACAAATCTCGTCAGTTAATTCTATTTTCGACATGAACGGTCAACAAATTTAATCCAATTTTGACTATTATTTTGGGTTCATTGTAGCTCGCTTGGCATGTGTCTTATCATAGTAGGGTTGTACTCATTCCTATGGGGAAAAAGCAAGGAGCCCAAATCCAAGCCTGCCGGTACAGCTAAAGAAGGCGGCATAGCCGTGCCACAACCCGTCGGCTTGGAATCGGTCACCATAGTCATGCCAGCTGATACCAAAATCCGCAATGTTGAAGATGATAAGCAAAATGCCACCTATGCCATGACAAGGTGAATTGTGGTTAATAAATCTTTTACGAGACGATATATGTAAGTTTTTATGATATTGAACCCATATTAATAACATTGTTAACGTGGTATTTTTGGTTTGTGGGTTTTGTAAGTTGTTTTATAGGAAACACTTTGGCCAACTTCATCTTCATTTTTGTTTTCTTTTTTTTTTTCCCTGTTCACAAGATTGTTGAAGACAATCACTAGGTCTACGTACACTTGGACGTCTATGGTTTCAACTTAAAAAACTCAAGGACGGAGCCTGGTTATGGCCGGCATATGCGGTAGTCCAAGGCAGCCTTTGGGCCCAAATTTTTTTCCATAGTGTTGGCCCCATAAAAAGATATGTTAGCCCATATATAAGTTCATGCCCAGCCCAAAAGCCAACATCACACAAAACTGATTATTAAACTAACCAATTAACCAAACCTATCAAAATAATCCCACAAAGCAAGAACTCACAAGGCAAAGAAGTAATAACTCAAAATTTCAAATCTTCTACCTAGATAAATTTCTAAACTCAAAAAACTAGTTGCATTGAGGAATTATGGATCACATAGGAAATAAAGAAAGTTAAGTAAAAAATTCTAGTGGCGAGCACACTGAATACATATTTGGTACGCATTATTCGATAGGACTCGAGAGTATTAGCTTCTTCTTTTTTTCTCAACACTATCTCGTACTATTCAATCCTCCGTATATGAAATTACACCGTATTATCACTAGAAACAGTTAGGTTGAGAAAAGCATTTTGAATAAAACTATGAACCTCTGATGAATTTAGAGCAATGTAACAATATATCAGTTCCTCCATTTGATTCCAATCTTGAATTCCCACATTTTGTATGACTTGGATTATGGATTCTCTTATATCAGAAATTGGATCTGAGGAATATTTCACTGCACAAATACAATCTGCAAATGCCCCACAAACATCTTCTGGTAACCTGGCTGAAAAACTTATTCTTGAACTTCTTCTCTGCAAATTTTTCTTCTCCATCTCGATTTGCGCTTTCTCCATTTCTTGTGCAGAAGATGGACAGAGGGAATTTCTGGTGGAGCAGTGAAATACGCGAGAATTCACAAATTATACATAGACATATAAATATGAGCATGTACATAATTGGGCCGCATAAATGCATACATGTGACTGCATGGCTGAACCCATGGGGTGTCTAAATGAAGACATTGCATTGGCGGTAGGTATTGAGGACCAGACCATGTTCATGTGGACCCTTGTATTTAGAACCTGGCAGTGAAATATGTAATGGGGTAACAAGTAACATAATACTTATTCCCAGCTAAAAAAAAGTATAATTCGTATTATTGCCTATGCTTGCCCCTCATTTTGATAAGAAATTATATTTTGAAATAATGATTTTTTGAAGAATGTGTGGTTGAAAATGAGTTTTTGAAAAAAATGGAAGTAACATAGACGTTATAACAAGACGTGTGTTCAACTTGTATTCTATACGTTAAATTGAACATAACTGAATAAAGTAGTAACTAATTTCTTGTCCTTCTTAAGTTATTTCAAGATGAAGAATCGAACTGATTTTAATTTTATTGCTTGTTTTTTTAGTTTATCAAATGTAGAATAGAATTGATAGATAATCTTATAATATTTCCTTATTTTGCTCATTGTGTTCCCCACCGACATAGCATTTGTTTCCACCGAAAATGCTGAATGTCCCGGCTCAATGACTGGGACATTTGACAGGGCGCCGCTGTTATTGGAGGGGGGCTGACTTCGGTCAGCTCCCCCTCCAATTGTATGGTGCCACCTCGGCACTTGTATTTTGGCCCGGTCATTGAGCCGGGCCATGTAGCATCACTCTTGTTTCCACCATGACACTGCACATGGTAGGCCTTTATGAGGCAGTACACAGTTTTTATGGGTTTATTTCACACCATTAAAATAGATATAAAATAGTGTACACCATTATTTTTCAAGAGGTCAATTGTTGCAATACTTGATATTTATAAAAATCTATGTTAACTATACCCATCATATCATAAGAACATAAGGTATACACTTAAATAATTAGGACACTTTATGATTGTGTGTGCTAATACAAGTATCACACGTTTGATGTAGGTCACATCCATATATAACTCAGATAACTAAGCTCCAATTGGGAGGAATTTATAAATAGAAAGAAATAGATGATAAATAAATTAATAGTACTTACACGAGGTTATAATAATCTTGAAACCTACCCAACTCGAAAATTCAACCCAATTCATCAATTTTATGGGAGTGGGGGTACGACCCATGTCAGTTTCAGTGCAATATGTGATTGGAAATTATGTTTAACAATTTATAAATGATTTAGAAATTTGCCTGGCTGCAATTAAGATTTTTCAAATAAAACTAGTTACGAACACGGAATGTTTGTAACGGGAAATTCAAAAAACCAAAAAAATGAGAAAAGGGGGAAGGTTGTGTTAATTCGAGAAAGCCCGGACCTTCCAAAATATTGGTATTTCGAGGAATGAATTAACCTCTCAAAACAAAGATATTTTGCAGAAACAATTCATTGACATTTTTATTCTCATCTTTCTTAAACTACTATATGTCCGTACAATGTACGGGTTTTGGTATTTGTAAGGTAATGTTAGTGTATCAAATATTAATGGAAAGTTAAATTATTGTGAAAGTTTAGTAAGTTTTTATCTAACATAATAATTAGTAAAATTTCATAATAATAATATATTTAAATGAAAAGATTTTGGTAGCCAAAATTTTTTTCAAGGAAGAAATTAATGAGACAATATTAATTTTTTTAAGCTTGCTAACGTTTGACAATTCATATTTGTACTATGTACCAAAATATTTATAGTACCCACTAAACAAGGAAAGAAAGTTTAGTGAAAAATATTCAAGTGACTGCATAATCACTAATTCTAGAATAAAACTATGTCAAGTTTTATTGCTAAAGTTTTATCGGGGCGATTGAAATACCACCTTATTGAGAAAACTTCAAGTTTAGTAAAAATTCATTAGTTTGGAGATAATATATTTTTTTGTTTATTTTTGTTATGAAATGGTTTGTTGCTTCGAAATGGGGATCAATCTGTCCGACAGGTCGCGAGGGTTGAGGGATAGCGGGGGCTCGAGGGCGAGGCCCTCGACGGGGATTGCCCTACCCGGTCAGGTCGCGAGGATCGATGGGGGCAGCGCCCCTCGTGGAGCTCGAGGGCGTTTTGATTTTCGTGTATTTACGGAATGAAGTTGTGTTGCGTAAAATTGTTGTAGAAATAATAATAATAATAATAATAATAATAATAATAATAATAATAATAATAATGGATTGAGTCAATTTAAATAACTAGTCCGATTAAGTTTTACTAAACTAAAAGCCTACTAAAGCCCATCCCACTATTTCAAAATCCACAATTATTTAATTATAATCATTATAATTGAATTAATTAAGTGATTACTAAAATCGGTCACAATTTTTTCCCTATAAATAGGATCAAATGTCAATTACAAAGGGAAGAAAAAGTGAAGAAAAAAATCACGAAGTGCTAAAGAAATCCTAAAACTAAAGGAAGAAAATAAATTCTCTCAATTCCAAGTCCGGCGAACACGAATAAAATCAAAATCTTCTTCAAATCAAGTAAACCCAAGAAGATCAAAATTTTCTTCGAATGAAATTAAGATCAAGCCCAAGTTTCGAAGTGCAAATCCAAGCCCCGAAATTCAAGTATCGAACAAATCAAGTTCTCGACAAATCAAATTCTCAACAAATTTCGAAACCCAGGATTCAAGCCACTGACTCCTCGTTTTCAAACATTCAGATAATTAATCAGAGGGTTTTGCAATTTTACAATTACAAAAAGATTCATATCCATTTGTATTTCTCAAAATACAATTTGTAACGATTTCTGTATTTTAATACGTGAAATCCGTCGTACAATTGTATTTAATTTGTGTAAAATGTAAGTAAATGTTATCACCTAAATTAAATTTAATTACGTAGAATAATGAAATGTTCATTTTTTACAAAAAAAAAAAAAAAGAAAAGAAATAAATCAGTAATTTAAAAAATATTAAAAAAATGTTTTTTTTAGCAAAACGACTCCGCACAGTGCGAAGTATCCCTCCGAACTGCGTAGAGTAAAAACTTCGCATAGTGCGGAATATACTCCGTGCGGTACAGAAGGAATGCTCCGCACAATGAGAAGTTTCGTTCTGCACTGCGCGGAGTATTCACTACACGCTGTACGGACCTCCATCCCCATTCAATTTGAGGTGCACAATCAAAATCCTATGTTCCTCTCCCAATTACTATACGCCCTTCTACGGAACTACACTAATTTTCTTAGCTCAAATGCTTCCCCAAACCAAATTTCTCACTTCTCATCTCCCCACTTCAATTTTCCCAACCCATTTTCCCAGGCCTTCATTTCCACCCTTTAAACCAATCACCTTGCAATCCTTAAATCCATTAAGAACAAACCCATGTCACAGCTTTTCAATCCAGCGTTTGAAATGCTCAGTTTCTGTAGTTTCTGAGCCAATGAACTTGGAATTCACCAGCAAGCCCAAGCATTTTCCTTCTGAGGTTTTGAGGACAATTATGGATTTGTCTTCTGTGGGTACTTTTTCTTCTTTGAGTCAAGAGGTTGGCCTTTGGGATTTGGCGTTCGCTTTGCAGTTGACCTAAATGGGACTCCAATTTTGTGCTTGAATGAGTCCAATAGGAAACTTTTTGTGGATAAGAAGTGCAGTCTTCGTGTTCAGGTTGTGCTTCACTGAATTGTACAGTTTCTTTCTTACTTGAATTNGAAGTGCAGTCTTCGTGTTCAGGTTGTGCTTCACTGAATTGTACAGTTTCTTTCTTACTTGAATTATGTATAACGAAACTCTATTTTTGTGAATTTCTTATTTTGTAAGTGTAAGGAAAATAATGGACTGTGATTACAAATTGCTTTCGACTAGCTAGAGAGTTAATAATGGAGTGCGAAGTTCATCTTCTCTTTATCAGAAAAAGGCAAAGTCTGCAACAACAGTATTGATGAAGGTTTATGGTGTGTTTGAGCCACATTATTTTGGAAAAATGTATTTTGGAAAAATGTATTTTGGAATAGTAGATTGATGGAAAATGTGTGGTTAAAAAAGAAGGAAAAGTTATTGATGTGATTGAAAATATTATTTTATTAAAGAATGTGTGATTGAAAATGAGTATAAGAATGAGAATGAAAAAAATAATGTGGACCAAACAGGGCCAAATAATATTTGGTATAGTTAAAAAAAATTGTAATTTTTTAAAAAAATTTGGCAATTGGAACAAATTCTACAAGACCTAAACCGCCAACTGTTGAAGGCCCCGCCGCATGAAAAACCTATTATTTTTTGCAACTAAGCCTCTATCTTCAAATTTTCTGCTGTAAAATCGAACCAAAATAAGCTTAGATGTAGTTGTTATTGGACCAAATCGAGGAAGAATTTGGTCTTTAACTGGTACGACATGAATATACTATGCATACAAGATGAGCCATTAGCCAACGCTCTTATCAAACGTCTTACTCCATAAGGAAATTTCTCTGAAATGGCACACTCGCTTCCTTTGTTTGTCGAGTTTTTGACTAAAATCATCAAAATTGGGCTTTTGCAATTGCGTTGGGGGTACTGTTCTTTCATTGCTTGAGCTTCATTTCATAAATTTCCAGTACTCTGTTTGACGCCTATAAAAGGACCGCCTCTGCATTAAAGAACTTTTCTATCAATTTTATACATACACTTCTATAGTGTGTGATTCCCTCTATTTACTACTCTTACTACATTGAAGGAAACTAAATTTTTGTTCATGGAAAAGAAGATATTTGTGAAATAATTTACTACTCTTACTACATCGAAGGAAACTAAATTTTTGTTCGTGGAAAAAAAAGATATTTATGAGATAATTTACTACTCTTACTGCACCGGATGAAACTAAATTTTTGTTCGTGTAGAAGAAGATATTTATAAGAGATTACTACACCGGAGGAAGTTTTTGTTCGTGGAGGAGAAGATATTTATATAAAATATCAATTGGAATACCAATTAGTCAACAAATATATATTTACCACTATAGCAAAACCACAATGTGAAAACTCGTGTGACATAAATGAATAGTGATAAGAGGATTCCCTCTTTTATAGTATAGGGGATAAATAGAAAATAATTACACCATATATATTAAAATTAATGAGCATCATTAGCTCCATATCTCTAATATCCCCTAAAATAACTAAATTCTTATGCTATCAACATCTTCAATGGTCAAATTTAGTTCCCAACTTTGCTTAGTGGCAAAGATTGCGGCATTTGATTAAAATGATATATTTGGAGTTTTCATAAAGTATCACATATGGCCGCGTCAAGCATAAGCAAAAAGTGATAAAAATGAAAGAAACGTTTTTGGTTCAATGAATGACACAAATTTAGAATGGTGTTTACTTATCTTGTAATATAGCCATGATTTGTGCATGCATCAACATATGAAAGTGCGACTTTTGTCGGCTTGATTATAAAGTGTTGGTACCGCACACATATTTTTTTTCCTTGTCCATCTACAAGTTGATCACATTAGTTTAGGAAACAATATTTGCAATTTGTTTGAATGAAAGTGTTTACGTTCGGAGATGTAAAATAGATTGGATAAAGATCCAACTCTTAATGTGTCGAATCTAGATAATTGGCCAGTCTTTAAAATTTGACGGTAAAAACTATCCAACAAGTAAAATAATAAGTAAATAGAGAAATACAACAATAAATGAAAATATTTTAATCCCGCCCCTATCGTCTTGTTGTCGATATTATGAGTACTAGGCATATACACAATTAAAGTAAATCCCAGGTTCTATGGTGGTCCAAACATAATGAAGTAAAGTTTCAAGGACGAATATGAATATATTTAAATTTGTACCACCGCCACTGCCTTCATGTCCATAATTGATATCTACGCGTTATGCAGACAGCTCGATTATTCAATATTTTTAGATCATAATTATTTTTAAAGCTTTTTCGAACTTTCGGCCAAGGAACATAAATTTCTATTCAGAACCATCCAAATTCTATATCTACGTTTAATAATAATTGTATTCTTAGAAATAATAATAAATAAATAAATAAATAACAAGGAAAAGGGTGAAGAATCTCAACAAAGAAAAACTGGGAATGATGGCGCACTTGCTATAAAAATATTTATTTATTAAGCCTTTGATTGACAACTATTATTTGTAGAGAATGAAGTTTCTAACGAGAGAAAAAAAATTGGATTTACGTGTAAAATATTTTATTGTATAAGTCTACATTTGGCTCCACTAAAATTATAACACGTTTTTTCTCTTCTTTTCAATTACTCATTTTTAATAAAATATAATTACACGTAAACCGAAAGCTTTATCTTCTTTTTCAATCACTCATTCCAAAAAAAAATATTATTTCAAAAATTATAATATCGAATAAAGGGGGCTAAATGAGTTAAATATATGGTTGAAAATAAGCATGTAGAAAAAAAAAACTTTAAAAAATGGGTGGCTAATATAAAAGTAGCCCTTGCTTCGCTCTATTATAATGAAATTTTTGAAAATAATGTATTTTAAAATAGTAATTTTTGAAAAATGTGTAATTAAAAAGAAAATATTTTTTTATTAACGTGTAGTATTATTTTATTAGAGAATATGTGGTTTAAAAGAAGAGAGAAATGTATTAAAATTTGAATAGGGCCAAACATGGGCTAAATTTCAAAGATCGTGACAAGTGCCACTTTTAAATTTCTTTGGAGGTAAAATAATTTGAAAAAGGTATAGAAAAGTATGATTCTAGAACAAATGTAACAATATAAAATTCAATAGACATAAAATAAGAGTAATGCCATTTGCAGCGAAAATTATCGATAGTCACTCTACGTGACATACACATAACAGTTTATTATTCAATGCATTAATGTGATAAATTTTTATTTTTCCATGCATCAAATAACAAAATATCACGTGTATAAGTATCATTATTCATAAAATATATAGCAAATAATTACCCGTCGGACCCCACCCTCACATGTGATTCCTCGCCTCCCTTTCCCTGCAATGGAAAATTGCAGATTGATCCTCAATCTATATAATCCATGTAGCAAGTTATGCTTATCCTCTTTAAAAATCAAGTTGGTCATCAACATTTAATTATAATTATATAAATAGATATATCGATAGAAAACATTGAAATCTTCATTGATATCAAAACCACAGCAATAGAGGCAACAATAGATCGAGACAGTCCTCCGTGTATTCTCACCCTGATCAAACCAAATAAAATATCCCTATTTATTTATTATTATTATTTCAAAATACAATTTAAATAAGAAGTTATAAAAATAAATAATAAGAGTTAGGACAAGATCATGTATTACTCTTTCTTGACCCAAAAATTAGACTAACGGAGAAATTTTTACTCCATTTCGGGTGGGAAAATGACGGTTAGACAAGGCATTTCATCTTGTCAACCCTACATATGGAAAGATTAGAAACATTTGAGAATTGATTCGAAATTTAACTCTATTATTTAATTGAATATTGGTCCAGCCTTGTCGCGACGAATAGAAGCTGGGGCGATCGAGAAACAGTTGGATAGGCTAGACAAACAATTTGTAGTTGAGAACTAATATTGCAAAAATAATAAAATATTGATAACCAACTTGCTACAGATTTGGGACCATACATTGCAATTTTACCCGTCAACACGCCACCCAACCCAATCCTCCTAGTATTGTATCTTTTTATTAATCTCAGTCCGTGTTCTCCTACATCGCCCTCTCTCTCGCGCGTACATATATATATACATACACAACTATCTTGGTTTAACGTTGTTGGTTATGTTCATGGTTCTTCATTATACAAATCATCATCATTCAAACAAACTACCGGGTTTTATTTTTTCCAGTTTCTCGTGTAGGGAATTTTCTGTGCATAATTTCATCAGCTCTGCCTTCCTTCCTAAACAAAGGAATGGGGAGGAAGAACAAAAGGATAGGCAAAGGGAGGGTTTCAAGAATTGGAAGTTATGCAATCGCCTCATCAATTACCGATCCCGCTTGCGTTTCTTGCACAACCTTCAATATCCTTGCCCCAATTTACAAAAGACTCAATCACGAGGTAAATATTCGTATGCACATGTATACATATACAATTTGATTTCATATTGGTATATATATGTATCCATCCATATGGCGTTGATGTTGACAAATGTTTGTTGTTTGTAAATTGTTGGGCATTTTGGGGGAAGGGCAGGATTCGAGTCACAGAGAAAGCGATGTGAAAGATTATTGGTTGAACAGGAACCGTCAGATTTTGGATTGGTTGTTGTGTGAAAGATCTTCTATTATTTGTCTCCAGGTTTTGATTTCTTTACGTTTTATCCATTTTTTCTTATAAAGATCTGCCTTCGGTGATATTTATGCTTTTTTTCTTTTTGTGGGGATTGGCAGGAATTTTGGGTTGGTAATCAAGAACTGGTTAGTATATATGACAAGAGACTTGCGGATGCTGGCTATATAAATTTCAAGCTTGCACGGACCAATAATCGCGGTGATGGTATGTGCATTTTCTTATATGGTTTCATGGGCAGAATTTTAGACAAAATATTTATCAGAACAGTATCTTTCTGCTGGCCTGGATTATATTTGTCTGTTTACATCAAAATTGTTCACCTCACAAGCATACTGTTTCTCATAATGGGAATTTTCTTCGCTGCTTCTTTATTCTTGAGAATATCCCTCGTCTTCTGGTTGGTGAATTCAAATGTCCATTAACAACTTTGCTAATTTGCACGTGTTCGGAATTTTGGGTGCATACAGAGGAAGATGGTATACGAAATACAATAAATTGGTGAAAATTTGTTTCAATTCAAATTTAAGATGGCGAAGGTGTCTTGAGCAAAGAATTTTGAACCCTTCAGTTAGTCTTTTGGAACTTTTTTCATAGTTGAGCAATTTTGTCCAGTTCGTGCACATATCGATGAATCATTCTCGTGGACATAGAAATAGGTTTGGTGATATAATTGATGAATGAAAATTTTAAGTTTAATTTGCCATCATCAAATAGAAGTTTGAGCTTCTTTGAGGAAAAATGTTAAGGCAATTAGTTAGACTCATTATTTGGCTTAGAGGAAGAGGGACCATTATGAAATTAATTTTTGTATATCATCTTTAGTTTATAATTTGGATTCAAGTCATTGTGATATGATGAATCGGTGGTGTTATGTAACATAAGCTGAACACGGTGCTCTATCACTTTGATTGATTGATAGATTTCTATTCAAATATAAAAAAAATGTCCTTTCTTGAAATTGTGACAGGTCTCCTCACTGCGGTGCACAAGGACTACTTTAGGGTCATAAGCCACCAAGATTTGCTTTTCAATGATTTTGGAGACCGTGTTGCCCAACTACTGCACGTGGAACTGATTGCACCTTCTCAATGTCGAAACAATAATGTTCGGCAAGAAATTCTTATAGTGAATACCCATTTGTTGTTTCCACATGATTCAAGTCTGTGCTTGGAGCGACTGCGTCAGGTATTTTATACGTGAATCTTTAATTCTGTACATTTACTAATTTGAAACCATTTTTTTGTAATCTTGTAACCATCGTGGAGTTCTTGATAGGTTTACAAAATATTGCAATACGTGGAATCATATCAAAAAGAAAACAAGCTCAACCCCTTGCCGATTTTACTTTGTGGGTAAGTATGTAATTCCTTTGCTTTCACCTTTTGAGATGTCATGCATGAAATATGAAAGATACTCATATTACTTGGTCATGCATATCTCTAACTTCTGCAGTGACTGGAATGGGAGCAAGAGGGGTCACGTGTACAAGTTTCTTAGGTCTCAGGGATTCGTATCATCATATGATACTGCCCATCAGTATAGCGATGGAGATGCTCACAAGGTAGTTTATATCTCCATACACTCTCATCTTTCGACCCTTTCGTATTTTGAGAAAATTCTTGTTTCTGACGCCACATGCTTCTGTTCAGTGGGTGAGCCACCGTAATCATCGTGGGAACATCTGTGGTGTAGATTTTATATGGCTTCTTAATCCTAATAGATACCGGAAATTACTTCAAACAAGTTGGAGTGCAGCAGTCTTTGGAATGTTTAAGGTGAGACATGCAATGGACCTCTCAGGAAATAAGGAGTTTGAATATCTTTTTTGATATGTTCATGCAATATTGTCAATCACTTAGAAGTGTGGAGATACGTATCCACTTTGAGTGCAATTCCTTCTTGTGTTTATAAATTTTGATTTGAGAATATAGAACGACCAATATACACTTACTATTATGCAATTCAGCGTATGCATATTTCTGTTTTGAGGTTCCTGTGTATTTTGTACGAAGTAGTTGAATAGAACACCAAGGAATATGCATCCCCATACAGCATCTGGTCTTACTGACTTTTCAATTGTGGAATTCTGTAATGATGATAAATTGTATTGTATTTGTAATATTTAAATCTTGGTGTACCTGCTCTGCTTCTCCTGCAGTATCAACTTCGCCGAGCCTTACTTACAGAGGATGATGCGTTTGCCTTTCTAAAGGCTGATACTGATGGTGATTACATTTCTTATGCGGGCTTCTATGAAGCACTAAGGCAGGTAGGTGCCATTTCACATTTTTGTAACTGCACACGTATGTGGGGAAGACTTTTTTATTTTCTACTTTTATAAATTTTTAGAAAAATAAATCCTCGGTATTTTTTGATTCTCTAACAGCTTAATTTGATCGGCCATTGCAATGGACTGAGTGTTGAAGAAATAAAGGATCTATGGGAACAAGCGGATGTTGATAGAGATGGTGTTCTGAATTACAAAGAGTATAAGGTATTATTTGAAGAGAAAAATCTTATGTGAAATTTATGAAACCTGAAATGTCAGAAATCTTAGAAGACCAACCATATCTGATGGTCAGATCTTTCTTTTGCATACAATAATTATACTTTTGTTTCTCAATTATTTTTTTCTTTCTTATAATGGCATTGCAGCTAAGAATATGGAATGCCCCATGGTCAGGGAAAAATAGTGACAAAGCGAGTGATGATATCTGGGACGATGTTGTCAACGGCACCGAGGAAACCATTGGTTTCAGTGTCAAGAATGCAGTTCTTTTTCCGACAGAAGTAGAGAAGGGAATTTGGCCTGAAGATTATTCTCTTTCTGATCATGCTCGACTTACAGTGGTTTTTTCGCCTGTAAGAATGCCATGCTCTCGACTGACATCATAACCGTTGCTGATTGCCACTTAAGTCAGACATCCGACTTCGTTAAGAGGATGAGAGCAACATTGAAGTCATGGTTTTGACATTGCTCGTAGAGAATACGTGGTGGTTTTCATATCTCCACCAGAGTGATTGGCATGGGATATCCACCGAGAATGTGTGTGATGGGGATCGCTTCATGCTTTGGGGCCAGGCAGGATTGCTGAAAATTGTAGTTTCCAAGAAGAATTTGTGAAAGTCGGAGCTTCAGTGGACATTGCCGCGTTATCTCATAAAGACATTTTGCCTCACATCCATGCTAGCTGATGACAGAATATGGTTTAAATACATCACCCTGTTCGGTTTTGTTGCAAACGGAACATTAAGGTTTGTTTGGTAAGTATAGGAGTTACTTTCCAATCTTGTTCAGCACAAAATACTAAACATGCCTCAGAAGAATTATAAAGAGAGAACTAAATAGATAGAAGTAAAATTTATTGAGTTTTGGGAACAGTAAGTTTCCCAGTAATCACATTTTGTAGTTTGGTGAGACTTCACCTCCTCAAACCTTTTTTTTAATTGCGTATGTACATTCAGTAGTTGTTTTACCAATGAAAGTAGAAACCATACGTTTGTAGCAGTGTACAGATTGTGAGACTGTGTACCTTCTCAGAGCAATTTTAATCAAGTTTTATTATTCATGAATAATTTCATACAACGCAGCACCTGTATGATGCATTTTATGTCGTCGTTTCAAAAACCAATGAAAAATTGTCAAGTGTCATTATGTATGAATTCTATCAAACATTTTTTGTACCTATAGCATAACTGATTATTCATGTCATGACATTTGACAATTGTTTACGTGCATATATATTGTGAGGGATAATATTATCAGCGAGTAAAGAAGTGAAAAGCTGTTCTACTGTATTTATCTCGACTGTCCTTTCCCTTCCGTCATTTGTGATGGAGAAATTGATTTATATTAGCACTGATTGAATTTTTGTTCTGGACCTTAATTTGTTGGCGAGTTACACATTTTCCCCATCCTTGGTTGCCGATAGTTTTGTTTTTGGATCTTGTTACATTGACAAGTTTTACATTCAAAGATCACCCCCAACAAACTGGTGTAACCGATGGGAAGAAAAGCTGTAAGTTATGGAATTGAGCACACCTAATGGTTTATAGTCAATACATGGAGAAGCTAGATAAACTAACCCCTAAGCATATGAACCTTCCTAGTATACTCGGCAAAGAGCTAAAGGTAGAGGGAAAGTTGGGTGCAAGACTGGACAAAATTGAAGAAAGACACAAAAAAATATGTAAATTACGTTGTCTAGTTCTGCATGCCAAAGAGTCTTGAATAGGACTCTCATACCTCTTTATGTAACCTTCTGTAGACAAGATATATCCAACAAGATATATCCAACACTCTGTAGACAAACAAGATGATGAAATAGCATAAAAAGATTTGGGTTGAATTGGCACCAGTAGCTAAGGGATGGTTCGCTCAAATTTTGTGTGAAGAACACCAGGAAAAATTTCAGATCACTCAAAGAGCATCAGCTACAAAGGAGAATTTTAACAGAAGACATGCGTTCCAGCTCCTATGGATTGGATTCTTGCTATTATTTCACAAAATGCTTGTTACAAGGGATAGGCTAAAGAAAAGCAAAGTAATGAATTAACAACTGTCTCTTGACGATGGGCCATCTACATAACCAGAATATTCAATCCTGGCGATGGCCTTAATACTTTGCTTATTAAGCTAGCTCGTTATACTACTCCATACCATGCTTGGAGCAGAAAAGTAACAGAATTTTCACTTGAAAGGAGGTTACTGATATCATTGCAACAGTAAGGAAGACAGCAGCAATTAAGAAAATATTGTGAAATACTCAGTAAAATTGGCTCTGTAACCAAAAAATGTTGTCATGCTTTAAGAATTGATTGAATTGTACAGTCATGTGAACCAAGGGAATGCCCTTTCCTTTAGCTTGGAAAAAAAGTAAAGCAAAACGAAAAATTAAACGCCAGTTTCATGGTTCTCAAGTTTTGGAAATCATGTCTTCTCTACTTGTTCCTGCTCAGTCCCATGTATGTTTCCAGGAGGCATTGTCTGCACAAATCACATCACAAATAGATTGAGGAAAAGTCAGTGGCCCTTCAGTACGTCCTACAAGATGCAGTTACTAGAGTTCAATAATACCTATTGTTCAAATCTTTAACACGAAAAACACAATAAAGAGAAATACTAAATTACTAATAACTCAGAAAGAGAAGATAATGAAAAGACACACCTTGATGCTAAAATGAACAAGAATTTAGTATCTTTTTCTTTCTTAATATAGTCGAAACCACCCACCGAACAAACAAGTCCCAATGGAGCATTTTACCAAACAGATCGTAGGAGATGGGAAAAGCCCCAATACAAGCACAGAAATTGAATCACTTACAGCAAAGCTAATTGTTTTCAAGTATTAGCGATGCAGGGAACTCTATAAAGAGTGAGTGCAAATACATAGAGAAAGAATTTACCAAATCAGGCTTGTATATATTATGCACAACAGAAGCGCCAGTGAGAAGTGACACTACGACAACAACACACGACCATGCCAATGATGGAGTTCCCGTGGGTTGCTTCCCTCCAAATTTCTTATTCATCTCTCTCTATCTCTCTTCGTCTCTCTAGTCAGCCCTTCGTATTCACCTCCTTTCCCTTTTAGCTTCAGGAAAGTAAATACTATTAATTATGTCTATATACAATATATGTACAAAATAAATGTTCACATGTAAATATATATATTATTAATTGTCTTTATACATGTCAGCAAATCAGGAGCAGAGAGAATTGAAACTGCAATTGAAATGAGAAATCTGAGCACTGTGTTTACTTATTTGTGTTAAATAACAGACTCGCAACCTACAGGTTGTTGGTTAGGGTTAAGTTATGTGGCGAGAGATAAGAAATTGGCAGCGGATGGGCTGGTGGGGGGAGAGCAACTGAGGAGAGATCACGCAAGTATTGGACAGGAACACCAAACACCCAGGCTAATTTTTAACTTCGTTTCAAGGGAAAATTGTGTGAATTTGGTATTACATCATCTAAAGAGACATTATAATATATGAATGGGAACACCTGAAAAAAAATAGAATAAACTCGTGTA